ACAGCTCAAATTTTGTCCAATGCAACATTAATTGCTGGAAATTTGAGCTGTGTATGGCAGACTTTACCCTCCCTAATGCATTATCCATGATGTTGAACAATTAACTGGTTGCCGACCAGCCACAGTGTTTTTACTGCAGCAGGGCGGCACCTCTGCGCAGAAAGCCTTTTTTAACGGTGCTCTGCAAAACAGGTAGGGGGCACGCGCCACCCTACCCATCCCGCCGATTGCAGCAGCGGGTGTCCATAATGGGGTCCCGGACGGTCATTACCCGCAGGGTCCCGGCGATTACCGGCAATCACTGACAGGGAACACGGCTGCAGTGTTTACACTGCAAGTCTGCTCTCTGTCAGTTCAGAGTACTCTGAACCTGAGAGAAGAGTTTATCTCTCGGGATCAGCGTGTTCCCATGAAGTCCACACCCCCGCACCCTAGTAAAACACTCCCCTCACACAGTTAACCCTTTCGTTACCTAAAAAATGTTAACCCCTTCCTCCCCGGTGCCATTAGTACAGTGTCAGTGTTTTTTTTTTTTTTGCACTGATCACTGTATTGATGTCACTGGGGATGTCAGTGACCCCAAGTCAGTTCCCCCCAGTGCCAAAATGTCCGCCGCAGTCCTGCCATAAGTCGCAGATCACTCTCATAAATCACTGATCACCGCCATAAGTCGCTGATCACCGCCATTATTAGTATAATAAAAAAAGAAAATCCCAGTATCTTTCCCGCCATTTGTAGACGCTATAACTTTCACGTATTCCAATTAATTTACACGTATTGGGATTTTTTTTAGCAAAATGTCGCAGAATACATTTTGGCAGAAATTTATGACTAAATTTGATTTTTACATTTTTTTACTGGACATGTTTTATAGCAAAAAGTCCAAAATATTGTTTTTTTTTTCTCAAAATTGTGAGCCTTTTTTTTTTATAGCGCAAAAAATAAAAACCGCACAGGCAATCAAATACCACATATACATTGTAGAGAGGGCTGGAACTCAGAGCTCTGTTCACTCCACAAGTAAGTCTCACCCCTTCTGCTATTTCAGTTTTAGGTGAATGTTGTTAGATTTACCAATCAGGACTATGGTGTAGAGAAGAAATATTCACCTCAATTCCCAACAATGCCCATCTGTTGTGCCTTTTCTAAAGGTATCACATGCTCTCTTCTTCACTTCTTAACTACTTGCCCTCCTGAGGATTTACCCCCCTTAATGACCAGGCCTCTTTTTGCTACTCGTCGCTGCACTAATTCAACTGATAATTGCGCGGTCATGCAATGCTGAACCCAAACAAAATTTATGTCCTTTTTTCACACAAATAGAGCTTTCTTTCGGTGGTATTTGATCACCTGTGCGCTTTTTATTTTTCACGCTATAAACAAAAAAAGGCCAAAAATTTTGAAGAAAAACAATATTTTTTACTTTCAGCTATAAAAAATATATAGTAAACTCAAAGTTGGTTATAAATTTAGGCCAAAATGTATTCTGCTACATGTTTTTGGTAAAAAAAATCCTAATAAGTATATATTGATTGCTTTGTGTGAAAGTTATAGCGTCTACAAACTATGGTATAGATACTGCAATTTACTCCATTTTTTTTGCTATACAGCGCTGCGCTAGTTTAACGGCCAACTGCGCGGTCATGCAATACGGTACATAAATGAAATTTACATACTTTTTTTTTTCCCACAAATTGAGCTTTCTTTCGGTGGTATTTGATCGCCTGTGCGGTTTTTTATTTTTTGCGCTATAAAAAAAAAGGATGACAATTTTGAGGGAAAAAAACAATATTTTGAACTTTTTGCTATAAAACATGTCCAGTAAAAAAAAATTTAAAAATCAAATTTAGTCATAAATTTCTGCCAAAATGTATTCTGCGACATGTCTTTGCTAAAGAAAAAACCCAATACGTGTAAATTAATTGGTTTACGTGAAAGTTATAGCGTTTACAAATGGCGGGAAAGATACTGGGATTTTTAGTTTTTTTTTTTTATACTAATAATGGCATGTGGTTAAATACAGTGGAGTTAGTGATTAATCCACAACAATCTGGCTTGGACTCAATTGAAAGAATCATTAACAGGCCAGGCCATATATTTTTAAGGTGCAAACTTTACAGAATACAAATGGTCATGTTTTATTGAACAATGAAATCCTAAATCTGATTGATTGTTCTATGCAAGATATATATTTGAACATTAAGAATAAAAACAGGGTTTACAGATATTATAATTAAAAATATTTTAGTAAAAATACATAAATATACTACTTTTAGGGCCTATTCACATCTATGTGTTGCATTACTATTCATTATTAATGGCACCCAATGTACTAAAGCAGGGGTCTTCAAACTTTCCTGTTCCTGTGTCAGTTTCTTCCAGGTACTCCGATTTCCTCCCACACTCCAAAGACATGTTAGTAGGTTAATTGCAACCTGCCTAAATTGGCCCTAGTATGTGTATGTATGAATGTGAGTTAGGGACCTTAGATTGTATGCCCTTTGAGGGTTGGGGACTGATGTGAATGTACAATATATATATAAAGCGTTGCGTAAATTGACGGCGCTATATAAGTAGCTGTAATAAATAAATAAATTTTCTTTCGAAAATTGTAACTAAGAATGTGTTCAAATTTTGCACCATTAGTGGGCCACAGCAACGGTCGATTTTCGTGTGGCCATCGAATTTGAGTGATCAGGCATGTTGGAAATTTTTTGAAAAATGAATTATTTTGCATCAATGATGGGAGAATCGTGTGAGAAATATAATAAATAATGAAATGAGCATGAGCTGTGACCTGAAAGGAAAAGAAGATTCCTGGCCATGAAAATTCTTCTCTGTAGCAACATGAAAAATGTGAAATTGAAGGCTTGGTTGGTGAAATTGCAAAATCACTGGTGGCACCATCAGATTACAAGACATATGAAATTTCCAATTTTCAAAAAAGAAAATTTATTTGAAATTCGAGCCATGCATGGCCTGTATAAGGTAACAAACATTAACATTCAATATAACGCTTGTGTCTAATGCACTTCAATGAATTGGCAAACTGAAAGAAGCCTAAAAGCGTATCAAAACGTAAAGAGTATCTAATGCAGGCCATACATCGGTGGAATTTTGAACAAATTTTCTTTAGAAAATCAGAACTTTCGTGCATTTTGTAATCTGAAGGTACCACCATTGATTGCCAAATTCGACCAACCAAGCCTTTACTTTCACCTCATGTTGCTTACAGAAAAGAATTTTCATGGCTGAGAATCTTCTTTTATTTCCAGGTCACAAATCATGCTTATTTCTTTTTCAATTATATTTCTTGTACGATTCTCCCATCATTGATTAAAAATTTGTATGTTTTTCAAAACATTTCCAATGTGCCCGATCACTCAAATTTGATGGCCACACAAAAATTGGCCAATGCTGCAGCCCACTGATGGTGTGAAATTCGAACGAAAATTCTTAGTTACGATTTTCGAATGAAAATTCTTTCAGAATTCGACCCATGTATGGCCTGCATTAGGATCCAAGGAGCCAAATTTAAGGATTGTTAAAATGCAATACAGAAATTTTGTTGTCTATGTGTTTAGATCTTCTTTAATCTGTTCCAACTTGCTGTCTACAATAGTGTTCCTGAAGTCCTCTTTCCATATCGTTGTAAGGGAGTGCAGGAGATGGCTTTTGATCCTGCCTTCCCATGTGAGTAATTAAGTTTCTTCCTACCAGTTGTTTTCATACTTTAGCTTGGAGTAAACTTATTCCCCGAACATCTTCAATAATACCACTCCACAAATGGCTCTGCTCCAAGGGGAGGGGGCTACAGAACTGTGACACCGACTGTACAGAGTAGAAGGCACAATCGTGTAGGACGTATGACCTAATATACAGACTTCCCAAGCACCTACCTCCCTGGTTTTTATTGTATTATCTTTATTAGTCCTGATTCCTTGATCCCCTCAGGTTTGGTGTTTGTCAGAAGGCAGCACAGAGTTCTTTTTAGCATGGGTTTGCATTAAAAGGCATTTTTACTGAAGTAGTACTTTACAGCAGCAGAGGGTGAATCTCCCTGGTGGGGACAAAGCCAGCAAGAAAAACTTCACCGGTATTTCAAAGGCCTTTACCTAAACTGGCAAATCAGGAAGTTCACTTGAACAGCATCTGCCATGTCCAGGAAATAAACCAGGACACAGGAATGTAAACATTGGAAGGATGTCAGCCAGGCTTCATGGGTGACAATAAAGGCCTGCTTGTATGGTAATTGCATTAACCGCTTTCCCGCCGCCCTATAGCAGAAATACTGCAGGGCAGGGCTATGCAAAATCACATATATATATATATATATATATATATATATATATATATATATGATTTTGCATTTCCGGGTAGGGGGTGCACTTGACCATTGGCGGCCTCAGCTGTCGATCACCGGGTCCCGGCCAGTGATTCCTCACCGGAACCCGGCAATTGCCGAGTATCACTGACGGGGGAGAGGTCTGTATGTAAACAGTACAGATCTCTCCCCTGTCAGCTCCTGCCTATTGCTTTGTATGGTTCTGCATAGCAGAGCCATACAAAGCAATGTGCTGACACAGTACAGCACACATAGTAAAAGAACACAAAGCACACATAGTAAAACATACACAGAACACATAGTAAAAACACACACAGCACACATAGTAAAAACAACACACAGCACACATAGTAAAATAACACACAAAACACATAGTAAAACAACACACAGCAAACATAGTAAAACACACACAGCACACATAGTAAAACAACACACAGCAAACATAGTAAAACAACATACAGCACACATAGTAAAAACACACACAGCACACATAGTAAAACACACACAGCACACATAGTAAAACACACACAGCACACATAGTAAAAAACACACAGCACACATAGTAAAACAACACACAGCAAACATAGTAAAACCACATACAGCACACATAGTAAAACACACACAGCACACATAGTAAAACAACACACAGCGCACATAGTAAAACAACTCTGGACTGAGACAAATTCACATTATAGAGGGATATACTTTGTTCATATTTCTTTTCTGAGGTTTACAACCATTTTAAACAATGTTTATACAAACAATACAGTGCATTTTCAGCCACTGGGGCCCCTTGTCTGCATGGGCCAATTTATACAACAGGTGAACTTAGCCATTAAAGTGTTACTGAACCCAGGACCCTGCATTCCTTATATCTGGTCTCCCCGGACCCTGTATTCACTATATTTGGTCTCCCCCGGACCCTGCATTCACTATATCTGGTCTCCCCGGACCCTGCATTCACTATATCTGCTCTCCCCGGACCCTGCATTCACTATATCTGGTCTCCCAGCACCCTGCATTCACTATATCTGCTCTCCCCGGACCCTACATTCACTATATCTGCTCTCCCCGGACCCTGTATTCACTATATTTGGTCTCCCCGGACCCTGCATTCACTATATCTGGTCTCCCCGGACCCTGCATTCACTATATCTGCTCTCCCCGGACCCTGCATTCACTATATCTGGTCTCCCAGCACCCTGCATTCACTATATCTGCTCTCCCCGGACCCTACATTCACTATATCTGCTCTCCCCGGACCCTACATTCACTATATCTGGTCTCCCTGGACCCTGCATTCACTATATCTGGTCTCCCCGGATCCTGTATTCACTATATCTGGTCTCCCCGGACCCTGCATTCACTATATCTGGTCTCCCGGGACCCTGCATTCACTATATCTGCTCTCCCCGGACCCTACATTCACTATATCTGGTCTCCCCGGACCCTGCATTCACTATATCTGGTCTCCCAGGACCCTGCATTCACTATATCTGCTCTTCCCGGACCCTACATTCACTATATCTGGTCTCCCCGGACCCTGCATTCACTATATCTGGTCTCCCCGGATCCTGTATTCACTATATCTGGTCTCCCCGGACCCTGCATTCACTATATCTGGTCTCCCCGGACCCTGCATTCACTATATCTGGTCTCCCCGGACCCTGCATTCACTATATTTGGTGTCCCCAGACCCTGCATTCACTATATCTGATCTCCCAGGACCCTTCATTCACTATATCTGCTCTCCCCGGACCCTGCATCCACTATATCTGGTTTCCCACAGTACACACAACATGGAAATGCAATCATTGTAGTAAATATAAACTGCTAAATACCTTTTCTCATCAACAGTTAGAGCAGTGACTTTTATCAATGACCAGCCGAGCACTGGTTAAAGCTTATAGGAGAAGTTTTCATTTTGCTCGAGGAGGGTGCAGAACCACTGACCTCTGTCTGAACAGTGCTGATTGGCCCTGTGCTGATCACCTGCACTTTTTTTAAAATTCCATGTAGCCTGGAGCAGTGATTTTTTTAGTTTTTAAGTTTTTAAATTGCTGACAAATAACTTTGACAGCTGTCATTGCCGTATCTTTGTTTTAGACAGTGCACAGACCAAAAAATGGTCTGCTATGTATTTTAGGGGGAATTTGGGGGTCTGTGTGCTATTTTTCTGGGGGGTTTTAAGACACTGGCAATGGATATAGTATCGCTATGATACATAACACGCAGCTCCCGCTGAATTGGTAAAAGTTCGAACGTTCATCATCCAAATCAAATGCCAAAACAGCCAAAGTTCTCTCTGAAACTGTGTTTCAACCGATCCTTGAGCTCATCCCTAATAAGGATCTTTATTTTCAACCATGTGACTGTCATTTTCAAACCCCATTGGACTGAAAATGACTGTCACTTTGTGAAAACAAGGATCCCTGTTTTGCTGTATTAGCTTTGTGAATTGAGCCTATTGTCTTGTTTGTCTATTTTTGTTTATTCAAGGACATTTTCAATAACAAAGAAAAATAGCAAATGACAATAACAATGTAATCAACAAGCATACAGTATATGAAACACAGCAATGACAGTAGAGGTTACATGAACCCAACAGACCAAACACAAACAGAATTTTTTTTTTTTAAATAAAGAAGGGGAAGGCTTGTGCCCATGTCAACTTTTTTTTGTTGCCCATGTTCCTGTTGCAGACTTTCCTTCATTTCCTATCTGGTAAAACCATTGTCAGCAGGAGAGGAAGTGGGGTAAACCTCTCTAACCAAGCCCTAAATACCAAAAAGGGGTTCAAATCCTTCTGTGCTCTATCCAAAATGAAAAATATTTGTAGCATTATTTTTATTTATTTACATCATTTTTCATTTTATTTCTTAACCTTTTAAGCCAGAGGAACCCCTAAAATTATTTCCAAGTCGGGAAAGGACCCTAACTAAAGCCAATAGAAGATTTGGGTCCCCTTATAGTCCTGCAGAGCCAGGCATCACACATCATCTTCACAAAAGCTTGCATTCAGAGTCAGAAATCAGTCCTTGAGCTTTGGTTTTGTTCTTTGATTTAGGGGATTTGATCTGGGATAGGGTTATGGGTGTACAGGATGCCCAAGGGAACTGATGAACTGAGGACAACTTCTTGGACCTATTTACAAGCCTTCACTGCAGCACAGTCTCTGTTGGAGAGCTAACCAGCGTCTCCTTGTTGTACCATCCCTGACCCTAGAGGAACTTCTACTCTTCACCCAGCAATCTGGAGGTATCCCTAAACAGGGGATACTGTGGGACACTTCCTTGTACAATTCAGCAAGATAGCTAAGGAGGTCTCAGATTTGTCCAGTTCTTCAGTTTTGGAGTATTCCATGTTCTCCCTTATCCCATCCAATATTAACATTCCCAATACAAAAAACTCCAATGCTACTTTCACGCTGATTAGCGGCAAAAACACATATGCATTTTTGCCTCATCTTTGCTGCATTTTATCGCATTTGCAGTGCGTCTTTACAGGTCAATTGACTCAAAAACAAAAATAATAACATAATGCGGGTACATTTTTGCTGAATTTTTGCTGCGCTTTTGCTGCGTTTTCCATTAATTTCAATGGGAAGGTGCATTTTTGGTGGGGTTTTTGCCACACCACACCTGCACCAAAAAAGCAGCAAGCAGAATTTTTAAAAATGCACAAACCCACAACAGGTCAGTGTCAAGGCAGCCTTAAAGACACCCCTAGACTGTTTCTTTGAGCCAGTGGAAGAGTGAAGAAAATGCTATGTGCCTGGCTATGTGTGCTCTATTAGGGGGGATAGCACTAAATTCTCCAACAGCTCTTATGGGGGTGAGCTACAAATGTATTGGTGGTCAGTGGGAAGAATGCCCCCCCTTACAGTGATGGTCAGAATACTACCCTTACAGACAGCTAATAAGATAATTTATGTTATGCTGTTGCATTTTTCATGGGCAGGGGCGGACTGACAACTCATGGGGCCCCCGGGCAATAGGGGATCATGGGGCCCCTGTGTCCTTGCCCAAACTCAAAAAAGCCTATGAAAAAGGTACCAGGGGCATCTCATGGGGCCCCCTACTGAGCCCGGGCCCTTGGGCAGTGCCCGAGTTTCCAAATGGTCAGTCCGCCCCTGCTCATGGGTCTATATACGTACCATCAGGGAGGTCAAACAGCCACAGCTCAAAGAACCCCTGGCAAGCTCTGGTGGAACTCTGGTGGTCCATGGAACCCTGGTTGAGAAAGGCTGCTTTATAGGGTTGACAATGTCGCTGTTGTTTCTTGTAGTATGGATAACAAGGCAGGGTTATGCTTTATTTTCTAGATAAATACTATTTATAGAAGCTTTCCTCAACCTTTTTACTTCAGAGGAACCCTTAAAATCATTTTCAGGTCTCGGGGAACCCTGCTAAAACCAATTTATTGGGGTTAAATAGAAAAATGCCTCTTATATTGGTGATCAGTGAGAAGAATACTCCCCTTACTGTGATGGTCAGAATGCCACCCTTACAGACAGCTAATAAGATAAATGGTGTCATGCTGTTGCATTGGTCATGGAACTATATAGATACCATCAGAGAGGTCAATTAGCCACAGCTCACAAAACCCCTGGCAATTTCTGATGGAACTCTGGTGGTCCACGGAACCCTGGTTGAGAAAGGTTGATTTATAGGATTGATAATGTTGCTGTTGTTTCTTCTAATATGGGACTGGATAACAAGACAGGGTTATGCTTTAATTTCTTAAGAGTGATATATATGAATGGGAAATGAACAGAAGAAATGACACAGAGGGTTACAATGTCCTCCTCTCCTCGCCCATTGCAAATGTGAGTTACGTATGGCTCCATCTGTACTTGATAAATGATGGTACATATTGCAAATCGCTTCTCATTAAGCAACTGAAGGCACTTTGCCTGGCACAATGTGTATGACAGAGGTGCATAACGAGGTGGCAAATTTTGCTGGCAGCGATGATGATCCATCAGTTATTCTAAGGAGGCTGGAAGCCCAGTTGTAATAAAGCAATAGGTGTCACAGGGCATGGTTGGTGTAATGTTCATTAGAGAGGGGCTTATGGAAAAAGCCTGATGATTGTATTCTGGGAAGATCAGAGCTCAGTTAAAATTGAAGTACATTAAATCAACATCATCTGTATTCCTAATGGGATTTGAGAAGAATGTAGAAATTGTCTGAAGAATAAACCAGGCAAATACATATTTTTATTATATATAAATCACTAAGGGATTTATTCATTTTTGAAAAAAAACTGAATTTTTTTATTCAAGCTGCCATGAAATCATTTTTAACATATATAGCCATAATGTATCTAATGTTGCAAATGGCTGTTACTGCTTGAAATAAATGATTTATAATTTAATATTCCTCAATTGTAGATTTCCTCTTTGCTCCTGTTCTGACTATAACTAAAAATTTGGATTTTTTCCTCCCTTTCAGTCTCAGTGATTGTGGTCATCATGACAAGTAGAAAAAAAAATTTCCATAGCTGCTAAACAGACAGCCATGAAAACTGGAAAGGGATTCTAATCCATGCCTATGCTATCCAAGACTAATAAAAAAAATGTAGACTTTAGATATACTTTAAAGAGACCCTATTGTAACAATTGTGCATACAGAGATGGATGTGGACATCCATCTTGCTAAGGATCCTCCATCTTGTATCATTTCTACTCCCATATCAGCTTCCCTCTAATTTCCCCCCTCCTCCTTTAGGAATGTGGTCTGTATGATGCCAGAGATCACAGACACAGTGGGAGAGCTGCATGGTTATAAATCCCACACTAGCTGGTGCCCGGGTGTCTGTTAGCTTCTCAATCTGAGATATCGTAAAACCATAAACCAGTCCTTCACTGAGCTTCAAATACATTCCAGCTAGCTGTAAAACAGACTCGCATTTAAAAATCCCCTTTTCCATATAATTTTATATCTGGAGATATGGAAGACTTACAAGGAAACCAGGCATATATTCAGATCGGTCACTTTAATACTAGTCGGCTGATATATTACACCCCCTAGCTGAAATCTACAGGAGAGCAGAAAATATTATCTCCTTAACCGTCCCAAGCAGGTATGCCATATTTGATATCTAGACGTTCAGCAGATGCTTCTGCATATTAATCTACTAGTGGCAAGGCTGCTACATGCAGTGAGGGTAAGTTATTGATCATGATATAAACTGGGAGGGATTTTGGTTCTAGGTTGGGTGTGCGCCTGCAACACCCTCCCCAAATGAGGCGATTGGTTCTCTGCTTCAAGGAGACACCCTGCTGAGTTCCTAGAAAGGCTGTTATGCTTGGAGCAGAGAGTTAAGTAAGTTGAGTAGGTCGTGTTGAAGTTGAAGAATCCTCCCTTTTAACATCGAAACCAACTTTGGGAGATAAGGCACCCTTTTGGCTCAGGAAACTTGATCTGCTTAACCCAGACTTTTGGCAAGTACTCTATCTCGCTAAACTTCTTTCTGTTATCTCTTTGCTGTGTTATTGCTCTCTGTATATTTATATATATATATTGGCTACATCTTTTTCTGTAAATATTTTTTTATTGCACCTTTTTGACCTTTTAGTAATAAATCTTACTTTCTGAAAGTGTTGAAGTGTTTCTAAAGCTCTTTAATGCAAACTAAGAATCCCTGTCTCTGAAGAGCGTGTGTTTTAAAACGTCTGCATACATCTGTCTGCGGTGACATTGTGTATACAAACGATTATTCAAACATCATAGTGTTATTGCCAAGTTTCCTCTTTCTCTGTACAAAAAGGAGGTGGTGGCAGTGTGAAGGGTTAATTGCGTAATTAACCTGACCCAGTAACAATCGCTCCAAGGCTGCAGGTACACAGATTGTGGTCCATTAGCTGGAAAATCTTTGTGCAGGGTGCATCTGGGCATGGCATTGTTATGCACATGACAGCGCGGTTTTAGATTGGCTAGTCCTTCGGTCACGAGTTTGGTGAGAAGGGCTGGGGGTCTGATGCCGCGATCGTCACACCTATCACCAACTTTAAAAAAATGAAGGTAATTGCACAGAGAAATCAAGTACTGTCGTGGCAGCCCAGAGGAGCCTGTCCTGGGGGGGAACCATGAGGGCCTCAGAATGGGTGGCAGTCAGCAGAAGGAAAAGCTCCTATCTTTACCTTCCCGTTCCACTGTTCAGTTGGGCCACCTGACCCCATCTAGACCTCCATCAGCATGGGATGGGCTGTGACAGCTCACCCAATTGCTGCTGTCACCTGTAAACACAGAAGTAGGCACAGGAAGTATTCCATTACTTACTTCATCTAATGCAAAACACAGCTAAGGAGATGGGTAGCGGAAGCCTCTGACTGCTTCTGTGTTGTCAAGTGACATCAGCAAATGGGTGGACTGGCATAGTGGGGGTCCTGATGGAAGTAAAAAAAATAAAATATAGCAGTGAGTTATATTGAGGCATTGGGGGGGGGGGGGGTATTTATTTTCAGACAGTATTCTTGTTATTACATTCATGTTTATTTTTATATGTTTATTCTTAGGATTCTTAAATTGATATTAATTTGGGGTGATATAGCCATAATTGAAGTCCTCCTTCCATATGCCATGGTGTACATTCCATATTCTGCACATCCTCATTCCATTTGCATGCTGTACATCCCCTATTTCACAACACTTCAATCCATATGCCATGCTCTATATTTCCTATTTCACACCTTATCTTTCTGTATGCCATTTTGAACATTTTCTATTCCATAACTTTTTTCCATTCTATTCACTGTGCTATACCCACCCTCCCTCCTCACCAGTACCAAAAAAGGTTTGTTCAGTTCTCCTGGGCAGCTGCACCCTCTCACCCACTCCTAGTGCATGCCATAGAATGGGTATACTGCCTTGTGCCCATTCACTGCCCCCTTGCACCAGCTGTGCATGGTTGGTATGAAGTGCGCCCTGCAAATTTGTGGCCATTTTCTTGATTTTTACAGCAGTAGCTGTCAAAACAGACATGACGTGTATGGCCTGGCCCTGTTTACAAATCACTGTTCTAAATCTTGGGTGCAGTAAGGGAGCCCTCCTAATACTGCACCCTGGGAAGCTGCCCCTTCTGCCCACGCCTTGTCCTGGCCCTGCTCTTCACAGATCTGTACTTACTACCTCAATATCATTGCTATCTCCTCTTCAGTCCTTCGTAACCAGCTACAGTGGCTAGGGTGCTACACAAGTGTGCTTTTTTCCTGTTGGGGGCCCCTTACAAGTTTAGTTATTGAGCCCTGTGATTTCTAGTTATGGCTCTTTTAAGGGCACCACCATGCCCATGACTGCTAGTCTTGCCAGATTTGGAATACGATTTGGTAATATCACTCCACTGCTGCTCACTGTTTTCAGTTCTGGAGAGGAAGCTGTGCATGAGGACCTGCAATGCAAGGATCTCCATGCATCCACTTTATTCTGTAAATCTGGACTTCCTTCTCTCCAGCTGCTTCTTGAGTATCCCTCCATTGGTAATGGATTCACAGTCATCAGGGAATAGCTCCAAGCCCAAGATGACCACCTCCAAACAAAGACATGGTGTAGAACATAGCATGGTAAATCGGTATGGAAGAGATCAGCTGTAGGAAGCCTACAGTGAATATGGGTTCCCACTGCTTACCTTTTTGACCACAGCTTTCATAGTACAAGTCTTCTTCAATATCTTCAAGAGCTAGAGTGCCAATCTTCAAGAACAAGAATGCTCAAGGTCTAGAAATGCTGTCATTGCTGAAAATGTAGGGTTCCTATAGAGTTTGATAAATAAAACAAGAATCTGGGATTAAAAGAATATAATGCTGCTGACTTTATTTTTCGATCCCCCTCCAGCAGAGGTCACATGACCAAAGGCTTAGGCTTTTGGTTATGTGAGAAGCACTGATGCTAGCCGGGAGCAGCATTTCTCTGCAAAAAAGGTATTTCAGCTCTTCTACTGCTCTTTAAATTGTCCATCCCAGCAACACTGTTAGCATTGCTTTATGCTAACATTTGTGTGTAAATCTGCTTTAACACATTCAGTTAGGTGGTTTTTTTTTCTATATGTGTGCTATTATTTCTGGTGTTCTTTCTTTTAAATTCAGCAATGTGCTTCTTTTATAATGTGTTTCTGTCAGTCAAACTCCCATTTCC